GCGGTCCTCACAGGGTTACACCTTCAGCCTTGGTTCCGGCTCTGTTTCGTGGCGGTCTACCCGCTCGTCTTCTATTCTCAGCTCCAGTTGTGAGGCTGAGATCTACGCTGGGGCCATGGCTGCACAGAAGTTACGCTGGCTCACCTACCTGCTGAACGACTTGGGAGAGGTGCCTCGTTCTCCTCCAGTTCTGTACGTCGAAAACAAGGCCATGCTTGCCTTATGTCAGGAGCACAGACTGGAGCACAGAACGAAGCACATTGCTCTGCGCTACTTCCTTGCTTGAGAGTTGCAGCAGCGTGGTCAGCTTCGTCTTTCTTACGTGGCCACTCGGGCCAACACTGCTGATATCTTTACCAAGGCACTTCAGCCTTGTGATCATCAGCGTTTTTGTACTATGTTAGGTCTTGTGCCTACTTGGCCTCACTTGCTCACTTCTTGACTTTGCTTGTACTGTGATCTATATATACCTGCACCTGCATGCTTATCCTTGCTAGGTTGAGATCACTGTCTTGCTTGTTCACCTTGATGTATGACTCTGCATGTGAACTGGCCTTGTGGCCTTGTGCTTGTGCTCAGAATGTGTGGTGACGTCGTGATTCGCCCTGAGCTTGCTTTGCTTTGCTTGACTGGTCTTGTGACCTCTTGTTCTCCCCCACTTTGCCTATGGGGTTGTGTCAAACATATATGATATAGCCAGTGTAGGCTGTAGTGGGGTAGACATTATGGGGTACAGTTTTTCTAGGTTTTCATACTTGTACCCATCTTCTTTCTAGTCCACACCATTCCTCGTACTATTCTCACACAGTGAAAACGCAACTGAAAATGTACTAACACAAAATGCAATTACGAATGAAAATGAAACACATTTAATGCAAGGAAAAATGTGCACAGAACACACACAAAATGAAAATGAAAAATGCGCACACACACAAAATGTAAAATGCAACGCAGGCGGCTGGTTGACGTGCAAAAACAAATATTTGCACCCAACAGACTCCAACGGCATCCATCCAGCCGTTGGGTTGCCCCGCCACCACCACGTTTGCAAGAGATGCACACAAACGTGGGTGAGTTAAAGATATGGTATGGTAAAAGCAACCCGATGGGGGATTCAAGGGAAGGACCTCACGACTTGGGAAACCCGCCTTCGGAACCCTAGTGCGTTTAAAAAACACACAGGGCTTCAGCTTCTCTCCTGCCAGGGTGCATGCAAGCATCACAGTAACACGCTCTCTCTGGTAGCCCGCGCTCTGAATGGGGATGGAGTTGATGCCCGACTTGATCGATGGTGTGCTCGGCTGGCATTTCGAGAAATAGAGGGGTTTGACCAGCGTTGATGATCCACTTCGGCTCGATGCCGTTGGCCCGACGAGTATGCCGAACGGATTTCCAGGGCGATGTTTGGCAGCACATGGGATCCAGCGGGGGATGGGGGGAGGGATCGAACCTCATAGCTAGGGTTTCTAGTTCGGGTTAGTCAACTTAGAGTCAACAGTCATTGACTCAGAAGTCTAGGGTCCAGGCGCAAGCGGATGGTTTGGGGGAAATGGCGCGGACAGGCGATTCGGGAAACGGGGGCTCACGAAACTGCACCCGCGCGAGACGAAGCTTCGCGAGAAGAACCGTTTTCCTTCTACCAGCCACATTTACCGTTGCGATTTGTTTGGGTAGCTCACTTTCCCAAGATTATCTACATTTTTTTTTTTTGGCAGTAGATGACGATCTTACCTTACGTAAATTTATTTAGTTCATTTTAAATTTGTGTGATTAGCTGTAGATATTCGATGTACGTGTTTTTATGCTTCTTAGAGTGTGGGGTAAATGTAAAAACTAAAATCGTGGAAGGGGGAATGCATTTTTCAGCCCACTCACGGGAATGCAATTCTCATGCCCTGAATACTAGGGCGGAGTTTTTCCGCCATGGGGGGGAATTTGGGGGAGGACGTGACGCGGGCTAAAGCCTAGTGTCGGGTTTGCGTCGCGTTTGAGGACATGTTTTTCAGATTTTTCTTTACTGACCCAAGTGTTTTGCCTAGTTCGTCAAGGTCGAACCTGGAGGCCTGGCGTTTTCATGCTCCATCCCAACCCCTCCCTTCGATCCCCTGTGGCAGCCGAACATCGCCCAGAAGTTGAGCACCTACTTCTCACACTCTAGGTGGGGGAGTAACAAGGACGTAGAGATTCAAAGAATTGTGTAAGTAACAAGAGCAGGAGAAGCACCGGAGTGCAGTATCTGCAATAATAGACATGGGAAAGAAAAGCGAAACACGGGAATTTAAACACGAATGACACTTACCTTCTGACAGCTTTTGACCGGCTTTAGTTTCTGCGCGGACTGACAAATTCCACCTGTGGCGGAAGTGCTTAGTCCAACCGTAAGACCCCTTCCACTTGACATCCGAGTGTAGCTCTTTCAGGACCTCGTGGGACCATTTCTGCAGGCGCCCAACGTTCACGGCAAGACCCTTGGTGCGCGCAGTTATGAACGGGAGTAAAGCTCCGCCTCCATGTCCGGATACCATGACGCACGCCCGTGCCCGTGCAGGCGCTTGCGACAAGCAGCGGCCTTGTTGAGGTCGTCGTACTGCCGCTTCCACTCCGTCAAGCACTCCCGGTATATTCCCGATTCCCGCGCCACCTCGCTAACGTTGTCGACAGCCTCCAGCCGAAGGACCCATTTCACCTTCTCGCCCACAGTGTAAGCATGGTGCTTGCGCGTATTCGGACGAAACCTGGGAGAGAGGGGGTGGGCATCTTGGTTCTTGGTAGAGGGATGAGGTCGTTTCTTACTGCGAGGGGGATAGGTGGGAATCGGGAGATGCTCGGGAAGACCGTCCCGGGACCAGTACTCCACGTCATCGTCTTCACCGACTGCGGATTGGTCCCACCAGCTGTTGTCTGGCCGTCCCCAGTACGGACAATCATCGTCACCATCTCCCCCGCCAACTCCTGCACCCGTGGCATCACCGTCGACCGCAACCTCTGTTTCCTCACCGTCAACCTTAGCCTCCTCATCCTCGACATATCCCACGAACCCGGCGAACTCCTCCGCCACCGCATGACACTTCTCTGCATCAGCAGGATCTGGCATGGCAGAAGTGGGGGGCAAGTCGTCAGCACAGGAGCTCCATTCATAAACACAGTGGGGGCTGGGGGCGCAGGAGGTGCCAGAGGAGCAGGTGGGGCAGGCTGTGCAGGCGGCGCAGGCGGAGCATGAAGGCATGGGGGTATGGCGGCATTAGCTCGAAGCCACTGAGGTAGCCCGCCACCACCTGAACAAGACCATCTACCCCGGCGACCATCGGGTGGTCGCCCGAACAGGAAGGCGGTGCCTGGGATGCCTGCCATGGCACTAGCAGCCCGAAAACGACAGTTTGCCAAGCAAAAACAGAAGAGAGGAGGTGGAGAATGAGAGAGCTCCGAGACCCCTGTCGTGAAGGCGGTTCGGGTTGCTCTGCGGGTTGGAGGAATCTCCCTGCAAGGGAATCCACGGTGGGAAGGAACCTTGCCGCTGGCAGATTCCTTGCCGATCGAGCGGTGCTTGTAATTGCAGCTGTCCCTCTTGCACGCCAATTCCACGCCTAATTGGACCGCCAGGCAACACTCAGGGTATATTCCTCTCTTCACATTTGTGTCACAATCCCAAGGTACCGCTCCAAACCTCTTTGTTCAATCATTTCGAACTTGAGTTTGGTTCGGTACAGAGCGGTACCTTGGGATTGTGACACAAATGTCAAGACATGAATGTACTCTCAGTGCATGAATGCACCTCCACTGCTGCGCTGGCGGATTTCCGCGTTTGTTCAATACGAGGACACCTGAAATCAGTACGGTTGGAAAGCTGGTATTATGGGCAACAATTTGATGCATAAAAAACACATTTCTAGTTTTGGCCAATAAATTAGCACATGCACTTATAGGGAATACCACATTACAAGCGCACCCTCGAATTTCTTGACAAATTAGAAGCGCACCTCCGCTTATATCCGGGTGGACACGGTACGGTAATTACCGTAAATACCCTTTTACAAAAGAGATGTCACATATAGATAAGTATTTTTACCGGTGTTACCGACACATAAAAATCCCATCACAAATAGCGCTAACTATCAGGATGATGTTGTCAGCTCAGCACTGATTTATCACTAAGGATTTTTTTTTAGGTGTAGCACTGATGCAGGGCTGACTTTATCAGACTAAAATAGTCTGATTGTCTGAAATCTCAGGGTATTTTCCTACGGATCCTGATTTTTCAGACTTGTAAGATTTTCAAACATGAGTGCCTCAGACTTACTTGGTTTTGGATCCTGAGATTTTCAGAGTACTGACTTAGCCGATAATGGGTCTTCATACTACAGGGAGTACGGATCCTGAAATGCGGATCTGTGATTTCTACGTACATTCCGCTACGTCATATGTTGCCAGTGTACGAACACACTTCATGGCGCTGTCACGCGCAGAATCTGTCCTTGGCAACTTTTGCCACCCTTTTCCCTTAGAAATCTGCCAACTTGGCTCACTCTTCCACTCACGCGGGACCATCACTGCAGCTACGCGGTGTCAGCGAGGGAAACTGGTTAGCGTTGCGCCCCACGTGCTACATTTGTGGCAGTACTGTACTGCAGTGGTTGTAGTGTGTTCTGAGTACTTCAGACTTGTATTTTTGCGGAACCTGAAAAATCAGAGTGGCCATTCTCTGGGAAATATGCCTCAGACTAAAAAATTTCAGAGCCCCCAGAACATCAGACTGGATTTTTTTGAATAGTCAGCCCTGCACTGATGGGTCAGGGTACCCCAAAAATGAATCCGAGGGCCTGGTATTGAGCATGAGTACGAGTATGTATGAGGTACTCTTTCAGGAACATAGTGGAACGGACAGAGGTTGGCAGAAAGAGACTGGGACGATGTTGAGGCAATGATTTTCCATGACGTGCTGGTAATGACTTCAGCATTCTCCTCATGGCTTCAGCGTTTTCCTCATGGCTTCAGCGTTCTCCTCATGACTTGCTGCATCCGCGCACAATAACTATTGGAGTCTGCTCCTCCGCATTCCCTGTATTCACACACCCAGCAACAGTCAGTCATCAGCCAGTCAACAGCCAGTCAACACCCAGCCACAGTCAGTCATCAGCCAGTCAACAACCAGTCAACAGCCAGTCAACAGCCAGTCAACAACCAGTCGACCAGTCAACAGCCAGTCAACCAGTCAACAGCCAGTCAACAGCCAGTCAACAACCAGACAACAGCCAGTCAACAGCCAGTCACCAGCCAGTCACCAGCCAGTCACCAGCCAGTCAACAGCCAGTCACCATCCAGTCACCAGCCAGTCAACAGCCAGTCAAGAACGCCATAACCTTGCCTCCCGCTGCCCACCTCTAACCAAATGACAGGCGCACAAGCCTCACAGAATCAGTAAAAACTCTCTCCGCACCGCACTGAACCCCTCAAAACCTGTGTGAGTGCGGGGGACAGCAGCTCACCTGCTGGGTTAGGCAGCAGTGCTGTGGTGAGCCTCGTGTGGTCCACCCCTGCTGACGCCTGCATGGCATGGCGCATGGCGGCATGGCACATGGGGCATGGGGCATAGGGCATGGGGCATGGGGGCATGGGGCATGGGGGCATGGGGCATGGGGGGATGCGGCATGGGGCATGGGGCATGGGGCATGGGGCATGGGGCATGGGGCATGGGGCATGAGCTATGGCCTCATCCCTTCAACCTCACACCACCCATGCACTACTCAGAAGCGTCCCCACTGTAAAAATAGGCGCTCCCTCCAGCCTACTCACAAGCACCATCGAAAACCACAACCCAGCTTCATCCCTCTCCAGCCTACTTACTGCTCATCACTGCTCTTCACCGCTCGCCACCCATGCAGGCACAGCGGCACTCACAGCGAGGATCTGCACTTTCTTGAGGTCGTTAACGTCGACTGTCACTCCACACCCCAGCTTCATCCCTCTTCACCTCTCGTAACTGCCTACTACTGCATCACCCCTCATCACCGCTTGTTACCGCTCACCACCCATGTAGGTACTCACAGCGAGGATCTGCACTTTTTTTAGGTCGTTAACGTCCACCACCGCCACTCCACACCCCAGCTTCGCACTCAACCCCTCCACCGTCTCCTGTGGTCGCAGCTGGTGGGGTCATGGGGAGAGGGGGGTGTGGGGTCATGGGGAGCGGGGGGTGTGGGGTCATGGGGAGAGGGGGGTGTGGGGGGCAGGGCGATGAACTAATCGAAATGGAAAGAAGTGAGTCTGATGTGGCCATGTGTGTGATGTGGCCATGTGTGTGATGTGGCCATGTGTGTGATGTGGCCATGTGTGTGATGTGGCCATGTGTGTGATGTGGCCATGTGTGTGATGTGGCCATGTGTGTGATATGGCCATGTGTGTGATGTGGCCATGTGTGTGATGTGGCCATGTGTGTGATGTGGCCATGTGTGTGATGTGGCCATGTGTGTGATGTGGCCATGTGTGTGATGTGGCCATGTGTGTGATGTGGCCATGTGTGTGATGTGGCCATGTGTGTGATGTGGCCATGTGTGTGATGTGGCCATGTGTGTGACGTGGCCATATGTGTGATGTGGCCATATGTGTGATGTGGCCATGTGTGTGATGTGGCCATGTGTGTGATGTGGCCATGTGTGTGATGTGGCCATGTGTGTGATCGTAGGTAAGAGGTCGTAGGTAGGGAGAGTGAAGAAAGAGTGGAGAGAGATGAAAGAGGAGAGAGGATAGAGGAAGAGAGAAGAGAGTAGAGAGAAGAGAGAAGAGAGAAGAAAGAGAGAAGAGAGAAGAGAGAAGAAAGAGAGGAGAGAGAAGAGAGAAGATAGAAGAGAGAAGAGAGAAGAGAGAAGAAAGAGAGAAGAGAGAAGAGAGAAGAGAAGAGAGAAGAGAGAAGAGAGAAGAAAGAAGAGAGAAGAAAGAGAGAAGAGAGAAGAGAGAAGAGAGAGAGAAGAGAGAAGAGAGAAAAAAGAGAGAAGAGAGAAGAGAGAAGAGAGGAGAGAAGAGAGAGGAGAGAGGAGAGAAGAGAGAGGAGAGAGAAGAGAGAGGAGAGAGAGGAGAGAGAAGAGAGAGGAGAGAGAAGAGAGAGGAGAGAGAAGAGAGAGGAGAGAGAAGAGAGAGGAGAGAGAAGAGAGAGGAGAGAGAAGAGAGAGGAGAGAGAAGAGAGAGGAGAGAGAAGAGAGAGGAGAGAGAAGAGAGAGGAGAGAGAAGAGAGAGGAGAGAGAAGAGAGAGGAGAGAGAAGAGAGAGGAGAGCGAAGAGAGAGGAGAGCGAAGAGAGAGGAGAGCGAAGAGAGGAGAGCGAAGAGAGAGGAGAGCGAAGAGAGAGGAGAGCGCACGCACGGGGCCGAGGGTGATGAACTGGTCGTAGGGAGGCAGAGTCCCTGTGACGTCATCAATGAGTCGCGCCTGCTCCCCTGCCAACTGGTAAAACACACCCCTCCGCCTCAGCAGCACTCGTGCCAGCGCCGCCAGCAGCACCGCCACTATCACGCGCACCACCCCCACCACATCAATAAGGGCCTGTTGAGGAGTGGATGGTTGAAGGGACGGGTGGTGAGGAGGATTGGGTGGGGTTGCTTGTACCCTGATTGCAGCCGCGCCTGCTCCCCTACCGGGCGGTAGGAACACGCCCCTCCGCGTCAACAGCACTGCCACTATCACCCGTACCATGTCTATTAGCGCCTGTTGGGAGGGGGATAGGGAAGGGGAATGCAAGCGGAAGGAGGGTGGGGAGGATTGGGTAGGGTTGACTCTACCCTAAAAGAGACTGGTGTTCCTGCTGCTATGCTATACCCCACCACCCCCGTGCGCACCTGCATGCCGCAAGGCATGGCGAGCGAGGAGGTGGGCAGGAAGCGGCAGTAGGCTCAGCACCATACCCCTCATGTTCCCCACCACACCCACATTCCACACCCACATGGCCCACCCCAAACCGCAACCCCACACCCCCCATCCTTTCACCTGCATGCCACAAGCCGTGGCAAGGGACGAGGTGGGCAGCGAGTCACAAGGGCCCGGGAGCAAAGCCCCATGTTAGAATCTCTATGTATAGCATGCTAAGTATAAAGGGGTTGGGGCTACACCCAACTTTGGGTGTAGCTTGCTTTGTAGGTCTACACCCAACTTTGGGGTGTAGACTTGCAAGTTGGGGTGCCAATCTAACCCATAAGTGTTGGAGCCCCCAAATGCAAGTTGGGTGCCCCCTCCTTGCAACCCACAAGTTGGGTGCCCCCTCCTTGCAACCAACAAAGTCCTTGTTGCAAGTTGGGTGCCCCCTTCTTGCAAGTTGGCATAGGGGCTTGCCAACCACCCAACTCCCCCTCTATCTCTTCCAAGCTCCTCTTGCATCCAATCTCCCCACTCTATGTATACCCTCTTGTGACCTAATCAATTCAATGGTTCACTTTGCAACTTTCACATGGTATCAGAGCTAATTTTTCCTAGGCCTTACCTCTCCCCCCCCTCCAGCTTTTTTTTTCCTTCCATGGGCCCACCCTTCCCCACTTAGTCGCCGTGGCCTAGACCACCGCCGCCGCCTCCAATTACGCCCATCATTTCTGCTCCTGCGGGCATTTCGCCCGTCAAATCTGCTCCCGCGAGCATTTCGCCCGTCAGATCTGCTCCCGCGGGCATTTCGCTCGTCAGTTTTGCTCCCATGGGCATTTCGCCCGTCAGATCTGCTCCCGCGGGCATTTCGCCTGTCAGTTCTGCTCCCGCGGGCATTTCGCCCGTCAGATCTGCTCCCGCGGGCATTTCGCCCGTCCGTTCTGCTCCCGCGGGCATTTCGCTCGTCAGTTCTGCTCCCGCGGGCATTTCGCCCGTCAGTTCTGCTCCCGCGGGCATTTCGCCCGTCAGATCTGCTCCCGCGGGCATTTCACCCGTCAGTTCTGCTCCCGCGGGCATTTCACCCGTCAGTTCTGCTCCTGCGGGCATCTCGCCCGTCTGTTCCGCTCCCACGGGCGTTTCGCATCTTCCCCACGCTTCTGCCCCCCCCCTCCCCCCCTTTTCCTCCCCCTTCCCCCTCGCTGCCTCCTCCTACGGACCATCCAGCCCTCCTCCCCCTTCCCCCCTCGCCTCCTCCTCCCACGGGCCATTCAGCCCTCCTCCCCCTCCCCCCTTCCCCCTCTCCCTCTCCCCCCCCCCCCTCAGCAGCAGCAGCAGCCGAACCAGCAGCAGCAGCGGCACCAGCGGCAGCATCAGCCGCAGCAGCAGCAGCAGCAGCAGCAGCTGCATCCTCCCTTCCCCCTCTCCCTCCTCCTCTCCCTCTCCCCCCCCCTCCTCAGCAGCAGCAGCAGCAGCAGCCGAACCAGCAGCAGCAGCAGCAGCAGCAGCAGCAGAGGAGGTGCGCAACGGCAGCAGCGGCAGCGGCAGAAGGAGTGCAGCGGCAGCAGCAGCAACAGCGGGAGGAGTGCAGCAGCAGCAGCAGCATCAGCAGCAGCAGGAGGAGGAGTGCAGCAACAGTAGCAGCAGCAACCCCCCCTTGGCCGCCGCGGGTCCACCCGCCGTCGCCTTACCCTTGACCGCCGCGGGTCCACCCGCCGTCGCCCATCATGGCTGCTACCCCGCTTGCCCCTGCCCCCCCTCCTCGCTGGACCAGTGTTACCCCTCGCCCCTCCCTCATGCACATTTCGACCCTCCCCTCCTTCCTCCCTGCTCACCTCCGCCTACTCACCCCCTCCCCCCCTCCCCAGCTGCAGCGTTTTCGGCAGCTTCAGCAGCAGCAGCCACAGTTTCTCCAGCCACAGCCGCCACTGTTTCTCCAGCCGCAGCAACAACAGCGGCAGCAATGCTTCCAGCAGCAGCAGCAGCAGCAACCACAGTTTCCCCAGCAGCAGCCGCAACGGCAGTAGTGCTTCCAGCAGCACCAGCAGCCACAGTTTCTCCAGCCGCAGCAGCCACAGCTGCAGCCGTGCTTCCAGCAGCAGCAGCGACCACAGTTTCCCCAGCAGCAGCCGCAGCGGCAGCAGTGCCTCCAGCAGCAGCAGCGGCCACAGTTTCTCCAACCGCAGCAACCACAGCAGAAACAGTCCTTCCAGCAGCAGCAGCAGCCACAGTTTCTCCAGCAACAGCCGCAGCGACAGCAGTGCTTCCAGCAGCAGCACCTGCCGCTGTATCCCCCTTCTCTCCATGAGACGTCTCTCCAGTACTCTGCGTCACCTCCCTCTCCTTCCTCCCGCACCCTGGACTTTGTCCTTGACAGTGGGGCCACAGAAACTGCACTCAAAGACGCTGGCACCCTCACCCCCCTTCCACTTCCCACCCAGGTTCATGGTGCCGACTCCAGTATTTCCATCCCCTGCACTCACCTCTCCACCCTTCCTTGCACCGCTTTCCCGTCTGGTACAGTCACAGGTCTCCACATCCCCACCCTTCGCAATAACCTCCTCTCCCACCGTGAGCTCCAAGGCGTTGGTATTACCGCCATTTACCCTGGATTTGCTTCCTACTGTGATCTCTACCACACCGCCTCTGGTCGCTTCCTCCTGCGCATTCCCCTTTGCCCTCGCACTCGCCTTTACACGCTCCGCACACCCCGTCCCTCGTTCTATCACGTCACCACCCATGCCGGTACTTCCACCGGTCCCCTTCCCCCTCCCCCTCCCCCTCCCCCTCCCCCCCTTGTATCCTCCTCCTCTACCCCATCCCCCTCCTCCTCCCCCACCTCTTCCCCCACCCTTTCCCCCTCCTCTACTACCCTCTCCCACCTTGCAGTGCTCTTGCATCACAGACTCGGCCATCCCAACTTCACTGCACTTCGCTCCTCCGTTACCTCTCGCCTCCTCAACAGCCTTCCTCCCACATTACCTCCCCTCCCCTCCTCCCCTGCTCCTCCATGCCCATCCTGCATTCATGGCAAGCTCAAACAGTCCCCCCATCACAGTCATCCGACTTTCGCTGCCGCCCCCATTGCCCTTGTTCACATGGATCTCTGGGGCCCTTATCCCATCCGCTCCTGTCAGGGGCATCAGTACATGCTCGTCCTCGTCGTCGACCACAGTTGGTACTCCACCGTCTTCTTTCTTCACACGAAAGACCAGGTGCCGGCTGTGGTCATCAACTGGGCTAAGCAATGTCACACTCACTTCAAACGCCCCATCGGCCGCCTTCACTCTGACGGTGGGGGTGAGTTCATCAATCATACCCTTTCCACTTACTGCAAAACATACGGCATTCAGCGGACCTCCACCCTCCCCTACTCCCCTCAGTAAAACGGCATCGCTGAGAGTCGCATTCGTGAGATCACCAAGATTGCTCGCTACCTTATTGCTCACGCCTCCACCCCTCCCTCCCTCTGGAGCTATGCCCTCCTGCATGCCGCCCTCCTCCTCAATCTCTGCTCCCACCCTCAGCATCCCTCCTCCTCCCCCACAGAACTCTGGTCCCAGGCCAAGCCCGACGCTGCCGGCCTTCGTGTTTGGGGGTGCAAGGCGTTCGTCCTCATTCCACCGGCCGATCGCTCCGGCGCTGCTGGCAAGCTCGCCCCTCGTGCCCTAGAGTGCGTCTACCTCGGGCACAATCGCGATTCCCCAGGCTACCCGTTCCTCCACCCTCCCACCAATCGCCTCATCCGCGACATTGACGTCATCTTCGACGAGTCCATTCCCTACTACTCCACTTCTCCTCCTGACCCTCTCCCTCCTCCCACTCGCCCCCTCGCTTGGACCGACACCGTCCTCCCGCCTCTTCTCCCTCCAGCGCCTCTCCTCCCGCCTGTCGCCGCTCCGCTCCCACCTTCCTCCTCTGCCGACGTCTACGACCCTGCCGCACCGGCCTCCCCGGCCCACTCAGCTGCACCCCCTCCCTCCTCTCCCTCCTCCTCTAATTCTCCCCCTTTTCCGCAGCAGCTGCAGCAGCAGTCGGATCAGCAGCAGGGGCAGCAGCATCCGCAGCGGCCGGGGCAGCAGCAGCAGCAGCAGCAACCGGGTCAGCAGCAGCAGCAGCAGCAGCAGCAGCAGCAGCAGCAGGGGCAGGGCAGCAGCAATAGGGGCAGCTGCATCAGCAGGAGCCGGGTCAACAGCAGCAGCAGCAGGTACAGCAGCAGCAGCAGCAGCAGCAGCAGCCGGGGCAGCAGCATCAGCAGCGGCCGGGGCAGCAGCAGCAGCAGCAGCCGCAGCCGGGACAGCACCAGCAGCAGCGACGCGCAACTTCCCGCTCCTCCCCTTTCCTCCTCCCTCGCATGCATACCCGCTCCGTGGACAAAATCCTTGGTGCCCCTCCTCCCGCCTCCATTCAGCTCCTCGAGGACTCCCATGAGGAGTTCCTCAACATTCGGCAACACACACCTTTCCTTGCCTCACTCTACCTTGACTTCCTAGGCTTTCCCGTCCTTGGCGCCACCTCCACCCCCACCATCTTCACTCCCACCACCTTCCAAGAGGCCATCACCTGCGCTGACACGGACAAATGGTTAGCGACAATCTTTCTGGAGTGTGAGGCATTCATTCGCAACGACTCCTTTGTCGATGTCCCTCTCCCAGCCGACGCCAACCTCGTCGAGGGAAAATGAGTCTTTCGGGTGAAGCAGCTGCCGAGTGAGGAGCCGGTCTACAAGGCACGCTACTGCGCCAAGGGTTTCACGCAGACTTGGGGCGAGGATTTCTGGTTCACCTACGCCCCCACCGCCAAGCCGCCCACCTTTCGCACCGCCCTCGACATTGGCGCACGCGACAACATGGAAATCTGCTCCATGGACGTCTCCAACGCGTTCCTGCAGGGTGACCTGAACGAGCGCATTTTCCTTCGGCAGCCCCCTGGGTTCCACGCGGCCTTTCCTGAGAACACAGTATGGCAGCTGCGTCGCCCTGTCTACGGTTTGAAGCAGGCGCCTCGGGAGTGGCATGCGAAGCTGTCTGCCACCTTGGGGTCCCTTGGCTTCTCTGCTTCGCACTCTGACGCCAGCCCCTTCATTCGCTCCTCGCCTCGCCGCTTCTTCATTCTGGTGTATGTGGACGACATGATCCTGCTTTCTGACTCCAAGGATGACATGGCGCAGATGAAGCTGTCCCTGCAGCAGCGTCTCAAATGCAAGGACCTGGGCGATCTCACGCACTATATGGGCATGACCGTCACGCGCAACCGCCCTGCTCGCACCATCACTCTCTCCCAATCCCACTACATCGGCCAGGTCTTGGAGAAGTTCGAGATGGCGCAGGCCAAGCCCGTGTCCACCCCCCTCCCCTTCGGCCACCAGCTCGCTCCACCCACTTCTCCCTCCTCCTCCCCTCACCCCTATGCTGAGCTCGTTGGGTCGCTGATGTACGCAATGATGTGCACCCGCCCAGACCTCGCCTACCCCATCAGCGTGCTCGCCCAGTTCGTTTGGCACTGGTCGTCACACTGAGGAACATTGGAAGGCTGCTAAGCGGGTCCTCCGTTACCTTCGTGGGACCAAGGACCATGTCCTCACCCTTGGCGGCCCCTCCCCTCCTCTCCTCTCGGCTCCTTGTCCCCACCATGTATCTCCAAGGACCAACTTTGGGTGTAGCTTGCTTTGTAGGTCTACACCCAACTTTGGGGTGTAGACTTGCAAGTTGGGGTGCCAATTCAACCCATAAGTGTTAGAGCCCCCAAATGCAAGTTGGGTGCCCCCTCCTTGCAACCCACAAGTTGGGTGCCCCCTCCTTGCAACCAACAAAGTCCTCGTTGCAAGTTGGGTGCCCCCTCCTTGCAAGTTGGCATAGGGGCTTGCCAACCACCCAACTCCCCCTCTATCTCTTCCAAGCTCCTCTTGCATCCAATCTCCCCACTCAATGTATACCCTCTTGTGACCTAATCAATTCAATGGTTCACTTTACAACTTTCACACCCCACCCCCACTCACGCACACCCCCACTCACGCACACCCCCCAAACTCTCCCACAGCCCCACCCCCACTCACGCACACCCCCCAAACTCTCCCACAGCCCCCCACCCAAACGCACCTGCATACCACACGCGGTGGCAAGGGACGAGGTGGGCAGGAAGCGGCGGCACGCCCAGCGAGCCACAGGGCCCGGGCTCACAGAGTCCGGGTGGCGGAAGCGACCCTGCATGATGGCCAATGGGGTCTCGCCAAGTGTCACCACGTCGCCCGGCTGCAGATACGGCGCTGCATAGCTGGTGCGGGTCGGACGGGATGGGAGTGCGGTGCGGGGCGGTGCAGTGCAGTGCGGTGCAGTGAGGATGGTGGTGAGATTTGCGAGGAAGTGTGATTTGGTGGGATGTGTACGCGACAGACAGGCATCACGGGCCGATGGGTCGAACTTGACTGGCTAGACTTGACAGAATTGTTGCATTGTGCCTCACCATTGCAGCGTGCCTCACCATTGCAGTGTGCCTCACCATTGCAGCGTGCCTCACCATTGCAGCGTGCCTCACCATTGCAGCGTGCCTCACCATTGCAGCACAAGGAGCGGGTCGTCGAGGTGGCATAGCAGGTGGCCGTGGAGAATGGGTGGGAGCGCGCAAGAATCGGAGTGGGAGTAAGCGTGGGGGTGCGAGCGAGGGGGCGAGGGGCATGTCTCACCGTCGGAGCACGAGGAGCGGGTCGTCGAGGTGGCATAGCAGGTGCGTTGGCACGGCCAGCACCGATATGCCCGGTGCGATGCTGCCGGGGGGAGGGGAGGGAGGCGATTGTGACGGTGTGAAGCAGAGATGCATGCCGGCAGATGTGTGGATAAGGGCGAGGGCGAATATGGGTGAGGTGCATACCGAGGAAAACGGATGGAAGGGGCAGAGGAGGGGTGGGGAGAGAGGGCAAGCAGGGGCGGGGGCAAGCAGGGGGCATACCTGCGCCACTGAGGGGCATACCTGCGCCACTGAGGGGCATACCTGCGCCACTGAGGAGCATACCTGCGCCACTGAGGGGCATACCTGCGCCACAGAGGGGCATACCTGCGCCACTGAGGGGCATACCTACGCCACTGCGGGGCATACCTGCGCCACTGAGGGGCATACCTGCGCCACTGAGGGGCATACCTGCGCCACTGAGGGGCGTGAGGAGCGGATGAGGGCGGGCAGGGGGGGAAGGCGAGGGGCAGGATGATGTGCTGCACCAATGGCAGGCTGCCATGTGGCCCGTACGCCCTGTAATGCACATCCAGCCGGGCGGCCTGGTGGGCGGGAGATGGTGGGTGGGACGAGGGGAGAGGGGTGTGTGTGGTGCGAAAGGAGGGGAATGGTGGGAGAGAGTGATGGAGGGAATGATGGAGGGGAGGGGAGTGATGCGGTGACAGTGTGCGTTTGAGAGACCCGAAAGATGAACAGGAGATGGGACAGGCATGGGCTGCTGGTACAGGCATGGGCTGCTGGTGCAAGCTCAAATGTAAGCGCTTCTTTCATTCGCCAAGTATGGAACAAAAACTTTGCTGAATCTTCTCACTCTCCCCCCTGCCCTCACTCTCCCCCCTGCCCTCACTCTCCCCCCTTGTCCCTGCCCTCGCTCCACTAGTTGACTCACACTCCTGCTTCCTGTCCTCAGTTGATTGGTGGTACCTTGAGCTGTGAGAGGGCTGCATCATCCACTGAATCTGAGTCTGCCGCCCGAATCTCAACAGTGACCTCCATTGCTGTACCCTTGCCCGCCCGCGTGATGTACGCCGGCCAGTACCCGTCCGCCCGGGCGGCAGGCTTGCCGCCCGGATGGCGCGGAGCGATCTGGAAGGGACGGGCGGGCGGGGAGGAGGTGGTAGAGTTAATGAAAGCCAAGAGACTGTAGCTAGGATCGAACGGAAGAAATAAGGTGGGGGTTGAATGTAAAAGAGGAACAAACTTGAGAGGAGGTGATGGGGAGAGTTTTGAGACGTCTCAAAACTCTTCTGAATATACAAAAACTGGTATGGGGAGAGGGGAGTTGAACCAGTTTAATGGGCAAGAGGAGAGGAGGTGAACCAGTTAAATGGGCAAGAAGAGCAAAGCTGAGGAGAGGGGTTGGACGGGAAGTCTGGTGGCTGTGATGGTGGTGGTGTGAGGGAGAGTGGGGGAGAGTGAGGGAGAGTGAGGGAATGTGAGGGAGTGTGAGGGAGTGAGGAGAAGGGCGAGCACTGACAGAAACGTGTGTGGAGATGCCTTGGATGGAGTGAGAGGAGAGCAGCATCACGCTCGCCGACACATGTGGGATGAATATTTCCTGCTTGCGCGTTGTGTTGTGGAAGCTAGGACAGGGCGGAGGAAGGGGAGAAGGAAGGGGGGACGGCAAAAGGGGAGCTTTGACTCAAAAGACACATGCGGCTGCCAGAAGCAGACATATGTCCTGCTTGCATGTCATGTTGTGGAAGCTACGCCAGGGGCGGGGTGCGGGGGGAACGGGGAAGGTGAGGGTTTTTCTCCATTGCTCTGCCTAAAGAGAATCCAGAGGCTCATCTCTTATCACTCCTCCTGCCTCTTCCTCCCTCATTTACCACCCCTACCCACACCCGAGTCTCTCCCATCCACTTTGGTTCAGAAAGGTCTCACGATTTCTGCTCTCACCACCATTGCTCTCACCACCATTGCTCTCACCACCATTGCTCTCACCACCATTGCTCACCCCCTCACTGCAATGCACCCCTGCCCACCCCCCTCACTGCAATGCACCCCTGCCCACCCCCTCACTGCAATGCACCCCTACCCACCCCCTCACTGCAATGCACCCCTACCCACCCCCTCACTGCAATGCACCCCTACCCACCCCCTCACTGCAATGCACCCACCGTCTCTCTGCGCCCTCTCCTCACCTCACGAGCCCTTCCCCTCACCTCATGACCCCCATCGCCCTCCCCTCACCTCATGACCCCCATCGCCCTCAGCTCACCTCATGACCCCCATCGCCCTCCCCTCACCTCATGACCCCCATCGCCCTCCCCTCACCTCTTGACCACCATCGCCCTCCCCTCACCTCATGACCCCCATCGCCCTCCCCTCACCTCATGACCCCCATCGCCCTCCCCTCACCTCATGACCCCCATCGCCCTCAGCTCACCTCATGACCCCCATCGCCCTCCCCTCACCGCATGACCCCCATCGCCCTCCCCTCACCTCATGACCCCCATCGCCCTCCCCTCACCTCATGACCCCCATCGCCCTCCCCTCACCTCATGACCCCCATCGCCCTCCCCTCACCTCATGACCCCCATCGCCCTCAGCTCACCTCATGACCCCCATCGCCCTCCCCTCACCTCATGACCCCCATCGCCCTCCCCTCACCTCATGACCCCCATCACCCTCCCCTCACCTCATGACCCCCATCGCCCTCCCCTCACCTCATGACCCCCATCGCCCTCCCCTCACCTCATGACCCCCATCGCCCTCCCCTCACCTCATGACCCCCGTCGCCCTCCCCTCACCTCATGACCCCCACAAGGCGGTAGAGCGACGGGCCCCTTTCCTCCCATTGCCACCTGCCACGTGTCAACAGCAAGCCCCCTAGCACCTTGCCACCCTATACACGCACATGCGCATACAGGCACACACAAGCAGAGGGGGACACGCACACATGCACAGGGGCACACACACAGGCACTCACACACATCACCCATGCACAGAAACACATGTTTGGAGACCCACACACATGTTTGGAGACCCACACACATGCTTCTAAACCCACTCACACATGCAACAGGATACATGCAACAGGATACATGCAACAGGATACATGCCGACTATATTAGGTTCACTTTTGAGAATCCTCTCGGCCTCTTCCTCTCGCCCTCTTCCTCTCGGCCTCTTCATCTCGCCCTCTTCCTCTCGGCCTCTTCATCTCGCCCTCTTCCTCTCACCCTCTTCCTCTCGGCCTCTTCATCTCGCCCTCTTCCTCTCGGCCTCTTCATCTCGCCCCCTTCCTTCATTCCGCATACCATCCCATCCCATCCCATCCCATCCCCTCATTCTCATTCTCATTCTCACTCGAATTCTTCCTCTCCCTTCTTAACTCCCCACCTGCACTGTCAGCAGCCGAGCTTTCTCCTGAGAAAGCCACCTCTCATTGCTTGCCACGTCATACGTCCCCGCATCCTGCAATGCGCCCCCCCTTACTGCTGTCCCGTCCGCCGTCCCCTCCGCCGTCTCCACCGCCGCATTCCGCCACTCCGCGGAATCGCTCGCCCACGCCGCGCCTGCCGCAGACGCCGCCGCGAATCCCGGACGGAGAATTTTATTTCGTTTTAATGTCACTGTAACCGTGTGCGATGGGATTCCCTCAAGGTTCCGGCGGGATGGGCGGAACGGAAGCGCTGTGGGTCCACCATGGCGGGATGGGCGCAACGGAAGCGCTATGAGTCCGCCATGGCGGAGCGGCGGTGGAACTCGGGCGCGCGGAGAAGCAAGGGGCAGCGGCAGCGCACGGGAGAGCGGAAGGGCGAGTGCGCGGTGAGCGAGAGGAGGTTGGGATGAAAGCATGGGGGTCATCTCCCGTCGTCGCAACCCGTGAAACGCGGAGTGGGCCGTTGCGGTGTTTGCGAAATTATAAGACACAACAAATGCAAGGGCGGATCATACTCATCGCGTGTCAGGTCAAATAGACCCTCCGATTTTCCGTAGGGCAACTGCTCCAGATACTGAGCCGATTGTGCCATGACACGATAGATCGTCTTGCAGGGACTCGTAAAAACGTGCGTCATCACAGTAACCGCGAAACACATGTTCAGATTTCGCACTCTTCTGTTGAAAGACCCTCTACACGCTCGCACCGACCTAGTCGAAATCTGCGAGACTTGTTTATCTCGCACACGCCGAACCTCTTGCCCTTTCTGTGATTCGGCAGTGATGTTCTGGGGGGCGTGTGGCGAAACAGACGAGTATTGTGATCCGCTGTAGTTTCAGCATTGCCTGGTTACCCTTCACGAAAGCTGAATTCCCGCATACATTTCTGTCTACTCATTTCGCTTCTGTGGGGGGTGTGTTCCTTCCCGACCACTGAGGGCGTGTCAAAATTGTAAAGACCAGACGAAATGGTCTCCTGCGCGGTTTTTTGGCGATTGCGGAAATGTGTAACGCGTAAGCTAACCCCGCCACAAATCTCGTCAGCAAATGGGGCACCCACCCCAAACTACCCGCGAAATATTTTATTCCCGTTACTGCATTTTTACTGAGTGTGGAATAAAGAGGGATCAGAAGCCTTGACTAAGGTGTTTAATAAAGCACTGGGTTTGGGAAAACACAAATATTTTCTCCCTGCTGATGATAAGTCTAGATAGGTCTCAAAATGCAGTGCTTACAATGTTATGCGGAGGTTTTTTTATTGCAATCTGGTGAAATCGGGGTGAGTACTCACATTGGTGTAACCCTACATACATCGCTATCGCAAGAACAGCCCAAATGATCAACCATTTCGTTTGGTCATTATAATATTATACGCCCTAAATGGACACAAGTCATGAAATTTCCCAAACTTATGTTTGCCTCCGAACAAAAGTGGGTTTTGTTATTTTGTATCACTTCCCCGAATTGTGGTATCGTTGCGTTTGCTTATGTTCCCTCTACTTGCGCACACACGGAGAAAATTGGCAAGAATTTTACTAGCAAAAGTTGGATAAAGAATGATACGAAAAGCAATGGCAAAAGTGACTACATCTAGGACCTAACAAGCCTAGCAAACAAGCAGATCGACCTCCAGCGCAGCACGGGGGCGGCTATTAACGGGAATGGAGTGTTGACCCTGCCCTCGCTTGGGCAACGCCGACGACTTGGTCGGATGTACAAGAGAAGCAGCTGACTGTTCACAGTGAGGGAGCTGCTCGACGGGCTTCGTCGAGCTACAGGGATCACTGTGGTGTTGCCGTCGACCAGGGGTGCTCGACGACCTTCTTCTGCTGGGCAGGACGACGAGGTGTCTGTCGACCTGCACAGGCCTGTCACGGGCTGGAGCCGTCGACCAGGGAGCTCGACAGCTGCAGCTGACTGGGCTGGTCGACGGGTGGGCCGTCGACCAGGAGGAGCAGTTCGATGAGGAGGTCGACGGAGCAATCCGTCGACCTGCGTAGGGCATGTGAGCAGCAGTCGACGAGGGGAGCTCGGCGTCAGCAGCTGCAGTACTCGTCGACGGAAGGATCTGTCAACCAGGGTGTTGCTCGACGGGAGCCGTGGTCGACCAGAGGCACTTGGTGGTCGACCAGAGGCACCTGGTGGTTAACCAGAGGCACTTGGTGGTCGACCAGAGCACCTGGTGGTCGACCAGGTCGACCTGGTAACCTCCTCGGCGAGTTCTGCGGAGGCACGCGAACGTCGTCGAGGTCGCGGTGACGAAGGCGACTTCGGGCTAGTATCCCAAAGTCGATATGGCTCGTCAAGCGCAGACAACAGCCGACGGATGCACAACGATGCAAGTCGGGCCTATCATCTGCGCGCACCTATGAGTGTGCGCACTGCTGCCATCTACGGGTGCAATGCTGGCAGCCGCTCTGCTGCAGCGTTGGCACGCCGTCGACCTGTTGTGTTGGCAGGTCGCCTTTCTGCAGTGCTGGCGCGGCTCCTCTACGCAACACTAGCAGGCGGTCGACCATGCAGTGCTGGCGGTCGACCAGGCTAGCTGCAGAGTTGCTAGGTGCCTGATGTAGTCATTTATGTCATTGCTTGTTCAATCATTCTGTAATTTTCGACTTTGCTAGTGGAAACTCTTGCCGATTTCTCCTGTGATTGTGCAAGCACTAAGGAACTAGGCAAAGCTACGATCACTCCTAGTAGTTTGTGCCAACCCCCCCCGTAAACTAGCTCACTACCTTTCCAACACTAAACGTCAACGACCTGCCAGTCATGCCAACGCTGCAACAAGGCGGTTTGCCAGCATTGCGACCGCGGGCGACTATAGCCCACATGTGTGCACCCATTTTGCAGGTGATGGTAGATAGTTGAGCACGTTGTGCACTGTCACGCGCATTATGCAGGTGTTAAGTCGGTCACGTGCCGACGGTTGCGCCAGATGTGCCACGTCAACCTCGTGCGCACGTGATGTTGCCATGTAGGTCGACTTCGCCAAAAGCACCTGGACGACGTTCGCGCACCCCCCGCAGAACTTCGTTGACCAGGTTACTTGGTCGACCAGAAGAGGCCACCGACGACCACAGGTCGGCGACAGGAAGTCGGCGTCATGTCGACGGACACCTACGCCGACCGCCGACTTCAGTCCGTTGGCTTATGCCATGGCCGGCTTTGCCGAAGTAGGCTCCGTTGTGGTCGACTTCCTTGAAGTCGGCTAACCAAGCCGACTTGCTCCTCAAAGTCGGCACCAACCACGAAGCCTAGCCGGCTGCACAACTTGCAAGCCGGACAACGAAGTTGGCTTCATCCAGGCGAGGGCGAGGCCTTCTCTCGTCAACAGTTAGGTTGGGGTGGGAGAAGATAGTTGCGCGTGTCAAACATATATTCACTATAGTCGGTCTAGGCTGTAGTGGGGTAGTCCTTAGAAGGTACAACACTTATGTGTTTCCTACTTGTACCCTTCTCATTTCCTAATTCAATCATTCTTTCGTCTATCATTCTCACATGGTATAGAGCTAGTTTCGAGTTTTTTTTTAAGGGCCCACCACTGAAATTTCTCCCCTGCCTACTTGCCGCGCGCTTCGCACCTTCCCTTCGAGGCCCATCACGGCCCCTACGCCCGCCCTTAGAGCCTGCGCCCGCCCCGTAAGGCCCCTTAAGGCCTCGTTAAGGCCCCTTTAGGCCCCGTTTAGGGCGCGGATTAAGGCCCCGTAAGGCCCCGTTATGCCCCGTAAGGCCCCGTAAGGCCCCGTCAGGCCCCGTTCGGCCCCGTTTAAGGCCCCGTTAGGCCCCGTCAGGCCCCCTTAGAGGCCCCGTACGGCCCCGTCAGGCCCCATTTGGCCCCGTTTAGGGCGCGGATTAAGGCCCCGTAAGGCCCCGTTAGCCCCGTAAGGCCCCATAAGGCCCCATCAGGCCCCGTTCGGCCCCGTTTAAGGCCCCGTTAGGCCCCGACAGGCCCCGTTAGAGGCCCCGTACGGCCCCGTCAGGCCCCGTTAGAGGCCCAGTACGGCCCCGTCAGGCCCCATTCGGCCCCGTTTAAGGCCCCGTAAGGCCCGTCAGGCCCCGTTATAGGCCCCGCAAGGCCCCGTTATCGGCCCCGTACGGCCCCGTACGGCCCCGTTATAGGCCCCGTCAGGCCCCGTTATAGGCCCCGCACGGCCCCGTTACAGGCCCCGTACGGCCTCGTTCTAGGCCCCGTCAGGCCCCATTATAGGCCCCGTTCGGCCCGTTCGGCCCCGTTATAGGCCTCGTCAGGCCCCGTTATAGGCCCCGTTCGGCCCAGTCATGCCCAGTTAGAGGCCCCTTCAGGCCCGGCCAGCCCTGCTGCGGCCCTGTCGCAGCTCTTCCCCGACGCTGCCCCGGCCCTGCTCCTGACCTGCCCCTGAACTGCCCCGGCCCTGGCCCGGCTCTGCCCAGGCCCTGCCCCGGCCCTGCCCCGGCCCTGTCCCTGAACTGCCCCGGCCCTGGCCCGGCTCTGCCCTGGCCCTGCCCCGGCCCTGCTCCTGAACTGCCCCGGCCCTGCTCCTGAACTGCCTCGGCCCTGCCCCGGCCCTGCTCCTGAACTGCCCCGGCCCTGCCCCGGCCCTGCTTCTGCACTGCCCCGGCCCTGCTCCTGAACTGCCCCGGCTCTGCCCCGGCCCTGCCCCTGAACTGCCCCGGCCCTGGCCCGGCTCTGCCCTGGCCCTCCCCCGGCCCTACTCCTAAACTGCCCCGGCCCTGCCCCGGCCCTGCTCCTGAACTGCCCCGGCCCTGCCCCGGCCCTGCTCCTGGACTGCCCCGGCCCTACCCCGGCCCTGCCCCAGCCTCTCCCCTGGTAAGAGCGCCGCGCTGCCGAGCCACACCGCCCTGCCGAGCTGCGCCGCCCTACCTAGCCTGCTTAGCCGAGTTCCACTGCTGCTACTACTAGCCTGCTGCTTCTCCTGTCATGGCTAGTCTCAATGTTCTTACCTTTGATGCTGAGGGTCGGGCTGTTGACTTTGAGGTCTGGCTAGATGATCTGCAGCTTTTCCTACAGTGCGATAGCAAGGATGGTCTCTCACTGTTCGATCTCACTTCTGGCGCCTCTACTGCCCCTACTGCTGATGCTGACAGTACTGTTCGCTCGCAGTGGCTCACGCGCGATGCTGCTGCTCGTCTTGCTGTGCGCAACCACCTGCCGTCTACTGAGCGCGCGCACTTTAGTCAGTACAAGAGTGCTAGGGCTCTGTACGACGTTGTAGTTGCACGCTACTCCTCCCCTGCCACTGCTGCCCTCAGCCGCCTCATGCTACCGTACCTTTTCCCTGACCTTGCTGCCTTTGCCACTGTCGCTGACCTAGTTGCTCACCTTCGCACTAGTGATGCCCGCTACCGCGCTGCCCTTCCCACTGAGTTCTGTGCCAAGAACCCCCCCCCCATGTACATCACCCTTTACTACCTAGTCACCCGCCTCC